TATATATATATATATATATATATATATATATATATATATTAATGGAATATTAATGGAATATGTTTGCTCAGAGGTCATTTTTGAAATAAGGTTTCTCTCAATTTTCGAAAGTAATGTAGTTAATTATAAAGACTGAATTTTCGAAAATTCAATAAAATTCATATTCAAACACTGAAAAAGAAGGTTTATGACACAGGCCGTTGTTATTGAGGTTAGTGTCAGACTCTAAAGCCTGACAAACCCACAGACGAATTTGCTCTGTCCTGAAGGCCTTACCTTCTATTGTTGGTGTGGTAGTGTTAGGGGTTACAGTGATTCCTTGTAAGTGAAGCGCATTTTCCCTCCTAGTACATTTTCCCCCTCGGCCGGTGTTGGTTCATCTTCCCCAGCTGTGATGGCCGAAGATCCGGTTACCGACCTACCGTCGGCTAAGCGGGGTCTCCCCCAAACTAGATATCTCCACCAGAAGGGATTGATTGTTAGTTGCATTCCGGGCGGCGTCAGCTACTAAGCCTCTTTAGTCTCGTAAGTGCAGATGCATGGGTTTTGCTCGGGAGTGGCGAATGTCTGTATTGAGAGGTATGGCGGAGATCCGCACAGTCCTATGTTGTGGCGCTTTTCTTCACCAGGTATCTTCCCACCAGCGGGGCACGCCCTAGCCTGAACAGCTTCAACGGTCTCACGGCATTGTGTTGGTAGAATAATGGCAGGTTTGGTGTAATTGTGTTTAAGGGATGAATATATAAACAGGAAGAGTAGAAAATCAGCGCCGCGGTTCGGTACTTTGTTTGTAGGGACTGCTCCGGCGTTCGTCTGGTTTGATTTGCAGAACCACCAAAATACCGATCAGAGGGGGGGGGGTTGAGGGCCACGGGTCTCTAGAATTTTCTCTAGACAGACACTGGAATTAAAACCGAGCTGGACAAGCTAGTGGCGAAAACTCCCTCGTCGGGACTGGAAACCTGGACCTTCCAGTCAGAGGCACTGTAGTGACATGAATTGATTGCGCTGACCTACTCGTCCCGCGTCGCTTCTAAATTAACTCCAAGGCTACAACTGATATCTGAAACAATTAATTTAGTTTATTCTGCAATTTAGTTTTCTTTGAATCGGGCGTTACTGTGTTTAATGGTTTTAATAAAAGTTTCATCTGAGAACTGGGATGGATAGTGTCCAACACAATCCTTCCAAAACCCTTGCAAGTCATTGCCAACACTGATAGAATCATCGATTATGCCATCCACTCTTGGAATATTTCACATGTACAATTGTGCAGCTGATACTAAATTTTATGAGGACGTTTTTTGGAAAGAATTTCGACTTTTTCAGTTTTACATCAAGTAATTCAGTATTTCTCTATTCCAGACGCCAACCTAACATATTTATCGAAATGCCACCAAAACATATAGTGTTGAAACCTACCGTATTGATAATCATTAATTATTAGAAACTGGCAAAGTTATTTGTTACAACGCGAATACTTTTAAAAC